TTTTATTTTATTTTATTTTATTTTACTTTATTTTATTTTGTTTTATTTTTTAAGACGCAGCTGTGATTGGAACCATTTTTTAATCTCTTACGTTGTGTACCATTTCTATGTTTAGATATGTTTGGATATACAAGTACTTAACATTGTATAATTGCTAACAGTATTCAGTACAGTACCATGCTGTACAGGTTTGCAGCCCAGGAGCAACAGGCTGTACCATGAAGCCAAGGTATGTAGGAAGGCTATACCATCTAGTCTGTGTAAGTACACTCTATGATATTTGCACAACAAAATCGCCTCACGACACATTTCTCAGAACATATCCCTGTTGTTAAGCAACACGACTGTATATATAAATTACGTGAGGAGATTGGAAATCTATAAACAAGATCAATTCAACAGACACTTGTGGGAAGCACATGGGTAAACATATCACAAGAGTAGAAGTAGAGACAAAGGAAAAATAACATATATTTTAATGGGTTGAATTGTGTCCCCTCAAAAGATATGTTGAAGTCCTAACTTCTGGTACCTGTGAATAGGACGGGACCTTCTTTGGAAACAAGGGTTTTGCAGATGTAATTAAGGCCTAAGTTAAGATGACATCATGCTGGAGTAGAGTGGGCCCTGAATACAATGTGACTGTTGTCCTTAAAGAGCAGAGGAGACACAGAGACAGACACACAGGGAAGGGAGAGTGCCATGTAAAGACAGACAAGAGGGAAGGCAGCCACGTGAAGGAGGAGGCAGAGATCAAAATCACGCAGCTGCAAGCCAAGGAACGCCAAGGATTGCTGGCAACTGTCAGAAGCCGGGAGAGAGGCCTGGAACAGATTTCCCTTCTGAGTTGCTAAGAAGGAACCAATTCTGCAACCACTTAATTTTGGATTCTGGCCTCCTGAACTATGAAAGCATAAATTTCTGTTGTTTTAAGCCACCCAGCTTGTCATTTCTCATTTTGGTCTTAATTTGCATTTCTCTGACAACTAATGAAGTTCAATACCCTTTCATTTGTTACAGCAGGCCTGGGAAACTAATACATAGATACATAATACATCGATAGAGTCCTTACACAGATTACAAAATGGGCAAACAAGCAAAACAACGAGCAGGGACAACTGCTCAAAGACATATTTTGCTGAGTAAAGAAAAT